TAACAAAATCCACCCTGTAATACCTCCTCTCCTCCTCTCTGTCATTCCTCTGCTTCTGTTTCCAGCAGACAAAAACATCTGCAGGCAGCAAACTGTCTGCTAACGTCTGAAAGAACGTGTCACGTCCTCAGATTCTCTCCCAAGACTCCGAGAGGGCTTCAGACACTTTGAAACTCGTCAGAGCGCTCCGCCGCCGCAGACATGGCGTCGACCGAATTACTGAATTTATTAAAAGACGGAGAGGACAAATAATTCACCTCCTGGCAACAAAACTAAACAAAACTTCAATGTGGCGGCAAAATATTAATAAAAAAAACAAAAGATTCTGTACTTCAAAGAGCTGACGATCTTCACCCTGAAGGTCAGACTGTACAATAAGCTCCATCTGAGATTCTACAGGGCTCAGTTAGTAGGTTAAAGGTCAAAGGTCACAGGCAACTCTACAGGGGTCATAATAAAGAAAAGCATCAAGGTCGACTGATTTTTAACTCCAGGATTTTTTTGGGGTCATTCTTTATCAGATGAGACATTTTTATTCTTGTCAAACAACAGTTTTTATGAACGTTTTTTTTTAACTAAAGCAACTGATTTATTAAAACTATTAAACTACATCAACGCCTCAGTGTTTAGTTTTATTCTTTAGTTAAAAAAAACAGCTGAGGACAGCAGACGTTTCGGCTGTGTTATCACAAATCTTCACGAGGAGCTTTGAGTTCAGCCACTTCCTGTGAGGAAGAGGAGGACGAGGAGGAAGAAGTGATGGTTCTGTGGCTGCGAGGCGCGAGCCGTCACGGCTGCTGAGCTCTTAATTTCATCCGACTGTCACGTCGAATCCTGCGGCGCGCTCCGACTTCGGCTACAACTGATTCAAACTTTTTTTTCTTCCCCAGAAATGAAAGAAATGACGGTTTTATCCTGGAAGCCAGACTCTGAGGATCCAGACCCGAGACCAGTTGACGTACCAAAGTTTTTCATCCTGCAGGACTGAAGAGAAGCAGATTTTAAGTTTCAGCCTCGGGCCGACAGAAGACAGGGAGTGTCCAAACGTCTCCAGTCACATTTAATAAAACTATTTCCTGTCAGTTTTTACACCATCCTGAACTCGTCTGTCTGAAGAGGTTTACTTCAGCTCCACCCTCAGCAGAACAGTTTTTATATTTCTACAGACGTGACACAGATTACTGACAACTAGCTTACTCAGGAAGATGAAACTTGTTGGTTAAAACCAGCAGAACAGTAGCTAAAAGCTAAATTTATCAAAACTATAGCTAAAAGCTAACATTTGCTAAAGATTCTCTAAAAGATAAAACTCACAAGACATTGACTGGAAGCTAAAATGACTGGAAGAGTGACTAAAAGCTAAATATACCATAACTAACGATGAAACCTAACTATAAAATAATGACTAAAAGCTAAAATAAGCCAAACTGTTTCTAAAAGCTCAAATTTGCTGAATAGTAATTAAAATTTACCTAATTTCCCTCTGGGATCAATAAAGTATTTTTGAATTTTGAATTGAATTTGAAAAGCTAAAGCTCACAAGACATTGACTGTAAGCTAAAATAACTGAAAGAGTAACTAAAAGCTAAATATACCAAAACTATAGAAGAAACCTAACTACAAAATAATAGCTAAAAGCTAACATTTGCTAAAGATTTAACTAAAAGCTAAAACTCACAAGACATTCACTGGAAGCTAAAATGACTGAAACAGTAACTAAAACCTTAAAATATCAAAATACAGTTAAACTTAACAAAAAAGTAGCTAAAAGCTAAAATTAGCAAAACAGTAGCTAAAACAAAAATGAGCAAAACCAAACCTAAAACTGTCGAAACAGTAGCTAGAAACCAAATGTTGCAAAACAGTATCTATAAGCTAAAACTAGCAAAACATAAACTAAATGTTAAGATTAGCAAAAAAAAAAAAAGCTAAAATTACCAAAACAAACTTAAATTTATGCAACTAAAATAACCAAAACGGTCTATTTTAAAGAACCCAAAGTGTTTTGAAGATTTAAAGAGGTCCATGCTATACAGGAGGACAAATAATAAGAAGGAGTCACTTAAAAAGCTTAAAAGCTTTCTGTTTGTCGCCTCGTTTCAGAAAAACTGAATCTTGAACTGCCGGAGGTTCAACGCTCTCTGCCTCCCTCGGCTACAAACATCCCTGCAGCCGAACATTTAGCCGCATAACTGCTAATGGGAAGTGGGCTAACTGCAAATTGAATTCACAGAAACCGGAGCAGAGACCGGAGCAGCTCCGTCCAGAAAAAAAATAAAAAATAAAAAATGTGACGCGAGGAAAAACCTGCAGAGAAACAAAAAATATATATAGTTTCTGTGATGTTCAGCTGAGAGGAGCTGTGAGAATTTAATGTTTCCATCCTCCTCCTTTTCTCCCCCACATCTCCATCCCTGCAGGCTGCACGCACACGCACACACACGCACACACACACACACA